TGATGAACATTGTTAAATATGGACTGGGTACAATTTATTTCTCAAAACTCTATGAAACAAATAAGAGTTGTGGACCAAAAGAAGAAAAAGGCAGAATAAAGCTGCTGCAAAATGACTGTAAACAAAATTGACCGAGGAGTGAAAGTGGCAAGATTTTCAAATATGATTTATTCGATTTATTCTCAGCCTCCTTTTGAGAATTTTTAGGAACAGAAGTGAAGGAATCAAAAGGAAATAATAATACTGGATCAGTCTGGACCAGTTGTTGATTTGTCAAACTAAGAAAAGCACTGTGAAGTATCTCCTTTGCTCAGGAACACACCTACACTTACTGCCATGGATTGCTTATTCTCTGAGAGTGAAGTTCAATTTTTACCTGAAGCTGTTCTTCCAGGGCAGCAGTAGCTTTGTCTCCACTGTTTTCATCCACCACCACTACCATGTGGGTAAGGGAATTCACCTTGACTTGCTCCTGTTCCAAATCCTCTTGAAATGCCTGCAATTAAAACAGACATGTATCAGAAAATGTGTTGCAAACCACAAAAAAACACTGCGCATTTGAAGCCTCCCTGGCTGATCAACAGGAAAAAATGAACACTTGTGAGAGCGCTATAAATTCTGTTGTAAATAATAAGTGTTGCAATTATATTTTGTTGCATGCACATATATATGGTTAAGATGAGGGTATTTCAGAAACTGGCATGACTTTCAAGAAAATTACTTACTATTACTCCCTCACAAATCCAAATTTGTCATAGAAAATTTCAAATTGAAATTTGGGTTGACAAAATTTGGTTTCTGAAGTTAATGCAGGTGATGGCTTACAGATACCAGGATAGCATGCATACTATAGCTGACTCTTTTTAAACAGAACTAGTTTAGATTTTATTCTTCATATTACCATAATAAAATACCTGAATATTGCAATGATCAACAAAAATGTGAAAAATTACATACTCTTTCATTAAACAGTCACATATTCTCTTCTGGCTGGCATGCCTACCACATCAGTAACATAGGATAAATCTGCTCAGGATACCTGACTCAAGGTCAAGAAAAAATTGCAGCATTTATTGCAGAAACGAGACAGAGAGGGATTTTAAGATTTCTGCATGCCTAAAAAAGAATGTCTTTCCCCCTCTTTAAGTTAGGGTGAGATGCAACAAGCCTCTGGAGAAAAACTCTGGTTGAGAAACAACTAGCTCCAGGAAGGGAAATCACGTGTCTCAAACCTGCCCAAAGTGATACTTAAATAGTTCCTAACTATGGAATTCCTGTGACACTCCAATTTTCCCCCATTTTAAACTCCTAATATTTATCTGCCTCTCTGTGAAAATTTACTGTGTTGTTTTGTTTCTTCAAAAACCCTCTTGAAATGGACCTGTTGCCTGCTCCAAAGTCACACACACAACTATGGACTGTGGATTGTGGGCCTCAGAAAAGAAACTTGCTGACTCTAGTATATTTCTTAGTTCTAAATCCCATACTCTAACACATTTCAGAGTCTTAATTCTGTTGTGCGCAGAACCTTTGCATCAATGTGTTCACAAAAGTCCTCCTTGTCCAGATGTTCACACATGACATTGTGGCTTGCTCCAGAGGATTATGACTGCAACGTCATGTGCCAGGCCATGAGAACAGTCCCCAGAACTCAGATTTCGCAGCTTTTTACGACCCAACAATTGATCAAGGAAGAGAGCGCAGAGGGCTCCTAAACCAGATGGCATACCACAATTTTCTTGTCTCTAGGTCAAATACCTTATTTCAGCCTCATGACAGTAAGTGGATTGCTTCATAAATCTACAGCTAAGGAGAAGGTGACCTGTTTCCTGATCAGTGTTCATCTATCCACAGGCGTCCTGGAGCAAAATAAGGGGATAAGTGCAGTCCTCTACAAGCGCAGGAGTAGAGGGTGTTTTGGATGTCTGTGTCTTGCATACAGTATAAAACATTTGAAAAGCCAACTAGCTCACAAAATCTGAAAATTTAGCAGTTTTCTGATCCTCAGACAGATACAATTCTCCCTGAGCTAATATGACTATTCTTTAAACTCAGTGCTGAGAGTCTACTTCTACCATGAAACTCACTGGAGAGAATCATTTGTGTACAGGAGCTTGCTGAAACAGGAATTTACTAAGGACAGCCTTAAGACTAGAGCATGCTCACATCAAATCATTTAAATGCAAGTTTCTAACAAGCTCTCCTGAGCCTGTTGAGAGTGCAATGTTTCAGAGACTTAAAATATGGGTAGATGTTAAGCGATGGGGACAGCAATAACAGTAGCAGCCAACCCTACAAGTCCTCTAACTGCAAACCAGAAAATGGCCAGAGTGCTTGCTAACAGCCAGAACATTCATTTCAATGTGAATGTTAACACAAGGTTACCTAGCAGCATCTTTCTTGACAAATTTTTATTTCCATAAGAACCCATCCATTCCTTGTAGTGACATAAAGGGCTCAAAGTGAGAAACTTAGAGACACACACATGCTTATAAACACCTGTGTATATGCTCTGCAACAAGGACACTAGAGCTTACTGCAGACATATTAAAAAATATTGGAATTTAATGTTACAGACTGGAGAAGGGGAAGGGAGAAAAAAAAAAAAAAACACAAAAAACCCAGACCATTAATGATATATTTTGTGAATGTACTGCCACATGCAACTAATGTTCAAATATATGAAAATCCGTATGGGGCCCAGAAGCTCAAAATATGCCACTGGCACCAAAATTAACAAATGTATGCCTTTGAGGTACTTAATTAGAAGAGCTTAAAGATACTGTTAATTACATAGCTAAAATAGAATGGGAGTTTCCTACATTTAGGAACAAATCAGCCAAACATTCTGAAATATAAACTGATAATTTTTCCAATTTTAGGGTCTCTGTGGATTAAGAGACAATATTTTGATTGTAAAGCCTTATGAGAGGCACCAACCATAGCACAAAGATGCAAGAACTCACCACAGAATGGTCTATTCTCAGCATGAGAGAAGACGTTATTTAAAGAGGAAATGTAACAATATGTAGTACACAAAATACAATTAGTAGTTGAGCTTCAAAGGAAATACGGAAATCTATAATAAAGAAGTCCTGAATTCCTACTGGTGTATGACCTTTCTCAGGAAGGACTATTCCATTTTTTCATCTGGTAATGTTTTGGCCACTGCTATGATCATTCTGATCAATATCCCAAGTATTCAAAATCAACTTTTTTTTTTTTTTTTTTTTTTTTTTTTTTTTTTAATAAAGGACATCACAGAGGCATTCTTCAAAGAACAGCAATTCCTGTTTTGCCTAGCAGTGCTTATATCACAGCTGAACCAGGATTTCTCTTTTGGCAACCGGCATGCAAACTGCATGACTTGGAGACAATCTACTTGAAAGTGTATACAAATACATGCTTAAGGTATCCAAGTAACCAAAGAAAATGTTATTTGAACAGGGAGTAAGTTTCCTATCTTACCTCCCCAATTTGTTTAAAGTACTGCAAAATCCTCACAAACAAAATTTCCAGTGGTGTAATAAAAAAAAAAAAGACATAGCTATCCTGACAAAGTACAATTACTTAAACAGCTTAGTCACTTTGAGACAGTTTAAAGTTGCTGAAAACTATAACTACAAATTGTAAAATAAATTAAATTAATAAAATGTAGAATAATAAACAAATAATCTATCAGTTGTATTAAAAGCACACAAAATTTCTATTTTTGCTAAAATCTATTTAATTTGTAATAATGCCTGGCTTCCTATCTTTTAAGTCATGGTTTCTCCCAACAACTTTTTCATAATTAACACTGAGTTGTTCAGAGTCATGTGATATTTTAAGAAAGGCTTAGAGTGTTATTTCCTCCACACACACACTTATTTTGATACTTATTTAGTTCAAATGAACTAGATATGAAACATTTAATAAAAGAAAACTGTTACTAACATTGCAGAATTTTTGCCTTTATGGTAAGTAGCTTTGTGACATAAAATATGTAGTAAAACTCTCTGAACTTTTCACTCTTTATTTGAAATATTTGCAAGCTTGTTGGCCCTCATGGAACCATCAGGCCATTCTAGCATCAGGCCTAGAATTTCTGTTCTCCTTCAGCAGCCTTACTGCGAAGGCAGAAAAATCACCTTTAAATTAGAAGTGGATCACGCAGTCTCTTGCGGTTTGTGACCTCTCTTTTGACAGGATTGCAAAAGCTTGTTTCAGTTTTAAATGATTTTCAGGGCAGATCTGCCCTCTAGAACCTTGGCCAAGACTGACACAGGCTGTGAAGCATCAAATGGCAAAAATCTGTCAGACAGTACAGAACCACTGATGTAGAAACTTCAATAGATTATGACTGTAGACCTCCACAACCTCACAAATTTTCCGTGCTTTTTATATTTGCCTATGTCTTCCTATCATAATCATGTTTGTCATGGATGAATAAACAAGTTTACATATTACATAGATCAAATGCCACACAAAGACAAATAAATATGCATATGTACATGCATTTAGGGAACAAGGCTTATTTTCAAAAATGAATTAACATGAAAACAGACAATTTAATCCAGTAAATGAAATAAGTTTTTCTTTCTTGGAAGAGGAAAATATAGTCAAAATGTCTTCTATACTACTGTTTGGTTTGTTATTTTTCATTGACTAAAGACAGTACTGAAATATATCTTCTAAAAAGTAAACAACTTCACTCTGACTATGTGGCAGCACTATAGGGTTACACTTTGGAGTCCTAGAAGTCCAAACAATATTAGGCAGCTCAATAATATTAATTTTTTACACAAGGAAAAAAAGCCTTCTACAGCAACACAATCACTGTACAAAACCTTTTTAATGTACAAAGCAATGAATGGTAAAACAAATTTTCACATCACTGTGCCGTGTTCCAGTGTCAAGAGTAGACCTTTTAAAATGTCAGAATTTCACTGTTTTTGTTTTGTTTTCAGAAATTGCACTTGATTTCAGCAATACAGTGCCTAAATATGAATTTAGAGTATCTAAATTCTGTAACATACCTTATGTTCTTCTATTTGATGCTTCAGGTCCTCTAGATCGGGACCTAAGGGCTCTGAATCAATCGTCTTTGTCCTTTGCTCTGTTTTTGTCAGCCAGTCACCCAACTGGGCTAGCTGCTGATTTTGAAGATCCATTAGAATTTTATGTAAACTGTAAAAAAAAAAAAAAAGAAATTTATACATAAAAGAAAGCAATAGAGCAATAGGCAAAAGTGTCCGCCCTGCATACTCACAATTATCCTCATCAAACTTTCAAATTGATTTTGAAGGAAGACACAGAGACTGTGCAATAGTTTTGCAAAAGGTTTACTCAAATTGTTTTTTCTCGCAATCTCAATACTTATAAAGGAAATCTATTCAGCAGAGACTTTGCTTTCACTACTGAAATCCATCATTTCTGCTGAGATGATAGAAAAAACAACACTTGTGACATTTCAGTTGTTAAAAGGATGTTCATGAGGCTACAACTCAAGACAGGACAATACATTCTCTTACCAAACAGGTAACTGAAACTTGGTTGAAGCTGTTTTGAATTAGTCATTGATTTTTTTTTTTTTCCATTAAAGGTGCAAGTTCTGTGTGTGAACTATATGTTATCAAATTTTGGTTGCCTTTCTATTAGAACTGCTCAAAAAATTATACTCTCTTCTTTCTCAATAACTATATTTTCTGATTTCTCAATAGCTATACTCCCTAATACAAGTACTTAGAGAAAAAAAAAAAAAAAACTCAGATAGCTCTACTTAAGATCTTTTCCCAAATTATAAAGGTACAAGAAATATTATTGCATTTTCAGTTATTCAGTGCATAATACTGTTCAAAATTAGGAAGTATATCAACTTCAACTAAAAGTATTTTGACTGACTGAAAACAATCTGTCAAGAAATCTATTACAAATCCTTGACGTATCATACTTACCATCTTCAGAAATTCTATAATTTTTATCTTTTGTTTCTTTCTAATCTAGTCAAATTATCTACTGAAATCATATAATAATAATAATGCAATAGAATTAAGCAGTGGAATTAAAATACTTGTATTGCCCTTCTCTCATCTGACATCCAGTTCATAACTCTACTTATATTTAAGAAGCAAGTTCATTTTTTTTTCTCACACATGTCAAACTTCATGAAACCATTGTTTGATATATTATATGAACTACATTTGAAATATTATTATATGTTTTACATTATATGACTTACTCTTAAAGCAAAAAGTTACCATTAACTACTTTCTGAGCTCAGCTTGGATATTTGAAAATGTAAATGGAACTTTCACACTGAAGAAAACTGTCCTGTAAGGCTCTAACCCACTCTCCTTTTAATTAATTTCATATGTTTCTTAACTGGCTTCTTGTCTACTGTGACTCACTCAAGGCTGATAGTCTCTACCTATACCAAATATTATTCACAGTATTTCTTCTCTACTCATTCTCATCTTTACTCAATATGCTGTTATCACTGTAATGACAGGTTTGCAAAAAACAGCAGTGGAAAAAATGGCTGGAGAAATCATAGTTTTTAAATGCTCCCTTCTATCAAATACACTAAAGTCAGCGTACTTCAAAAAATATATATGAAAAGAAATAAATAACTTAAAATGTTATCAGTGGAGTCAATGCATATTAGATGCCATTTTTACTTCCATCAAAAAATTTCTCCATTCCATTAATGGAGATTCCATTAAAAAACTACAGATTATTTTTTAGTGATAAATGAAATAATATCCTAAGTGCTATGGAAAATCTTTGCTATAGAAATCTAGAAAATCCAGAAAATAAAGATAATTTGTTTTAAAAAAACAAGATATGATTGAATACTTACTATAAAGAACACTGATATTATTCTTAGGAGCATAAACTTAAAAAATGAAATAATCACAGTTGATTCTTAAGTAGAAGAATGTTTCTCTTTTCTTCAATTTTTCAGGTACTTTCTGGTTTTCAAATTACTCCGATAAACATTTGATAGAGGTTTTAGTACCCATTTATTTACCTCAGGAGATTATTGTAATCTCTGTTTATGGTATGGCCCTCGTGTTTCAAATACAAAATACTATTTCAGTGAATTTAATGTGTTTTAATAGTTGCGGAATCCTCCATAAAGGGGCAAATTGTATTAGGTTTTCCTCTCCAGTGGTTCATTTATCACTCTGAGCTGCTTTCCTACAAAGAATTCTATTTAGAGGCAGAGGAGGGGAAAGAAATGAAAAACCCTGCTCTGTATTTTCTCTGTATTTTCAGTACATAGTAATTACAACGTAAATCCCATTTGCGCTGCTTTTAAATATGGCATCGGAGTGTCTCAACCTCCTTGTGATGGTGTTCCCCAAACACCACTAAACCACTTCAACTCTTGAGTCTACTTTTTTAGTATCCTTTATCAATAACTCTTTCTACTCTATTTTTGATCACTTGCTTTTGTTTTCCCTGTGCTACAGCATAGGCTGCTTTACTTGAATATCCTCTTGCCACTAATAGTTGATGTTCCCATCTTCACGAATTCCATCTCTGTGTCTGGACAGAGACATCACTGTTGCCAGTAACATGCTTGAAAGATTACACATAAAACTGAAGCTAAAGACATGTCCCTTAGAATTTAAACAGAGTACACTAACTCAGAAATACATTATGTAATGATATGAAAGCTCACAGTCAAGTTCATAATCCTTCAGGGGGTATTTAGCACTCTGTTTTTGACACAATAGATTAAAACTTGCCATCGTCAAGTATATCATCCCTGCAAAATTTTATTTTGCCCTAATCAGAGTTTCATGGAATTAATAACACTTAAATTCTTGCGTACTATCACGTTTTATTTTAGGTCTCTCTCTGGTTTAATATTACACAAATATTCTAGTATCAGAAGATATTAGAGTTCCTGGGTAATGACCTGTAGCTGCACCTAGGAGACAAATTCAACAATCTAAAAAGACATTTTAGTAGACATTGTACAACTCAAAGATAAGACTACTCCTTGCATGTGTTGAATTAAATGAAAATATAGTGAATAAAAACTGCCTACAGCAAAGTATCATGGATTTTTCTTCTCAAATAAAAGGGCACAGCTGGAGGAAGTTGCTTTCAGAGACATCAGAAGTCCATTAACAATGAAGAATTAGAGACTTCCAAAGGCATGTAAGATTATAACAGATAGAAGTACAAAAACAACATCTCAATATAGCATCCAGTGGTAATCAGAAAAGTAAATCAAACATTTTGGAATACATATAACAAAAAGATGGCATTATTATGTGATTAAATAATGTCCTGGTTTGCTCTTTAATACTAGGTGTGTTTTTAGTCCTCTTTCAAGGTGGAACTGGAAAAATAGATCAGAAAAAAAGGAATACGGATAATCAAAGACATAGAAAAACCTCCACATGAGGAATAATTAATCAGGCTTATAATTTTGAGTCTGGAAAAGAGATGACAAACTTACACATATATATTATATATACACATAGAGAAACTGAGGAATATACAGCCGATCATCACTTCCAATATAGTGACTAGAGGGACAGGACAGGAAGGGAGGGGAAGAGCCTTGAAGGAAAAACAGCAACACCAAAAACACTGAAAACAATGTTTCAGCTCAAGGAGAAACTGAATTAATAGCTAGGAGAAAAACCAATGGCAGGCTACCAAACACACAAAGCTATTTCCATCTCAAGAAGTCCCCTTAGTTGAAAACAGGTGGAGGTTCTAAGAGTCTTATAGACAAGTTTGTAATAAAGGGCATGTCCTGTTAGTTCAGAGCAATGGCCCAAACAGCCCAATACTCAGACTCCAGCAATGGTGACAGGAAATGAAGAAGTATTGGTTCAGCATATTGTGCTCCTCCCTTAAAGCTTGTCCGTTTCTTCTCTTATTCTCTTCCTGTCAGGACAATGGCCTGACCACCAAAGAAATTCAGCTATTTCTTGAAATCACGCTTGCAAAAGGACTTTCTCCAGCTATAATGAAGGCGCCAACAAGAGCTGCTCACTTAGGACTAGTGCAATATGTGTTTCTGAGAGAAAAATTAAGATCTTAGTGGTTAGACTTTAATGATGTCTAGCTTCAAGACTTGAAAATACGCAATAGCATTTATTGCTAATTCTTCTGTAACAGGGAATATGCATTATTGTATTACTCTTATTGTAGTTTATTTTAATTTTAAATTACAGGAATAATCTAAAGATTTATGTTCAAGTAGTCTATTCTGTATTGCACATTAAGTAACTCCTACATACAGTAAATGACTATATATCAGCAAAGACGATGGACTATACAGATAATCAATGGACCATTCCCTCTAAATGGCAATTTCTCACAAGTAAAATTAGGATTAGTTTCAGAATTTTAACTACTGAAAACAGACACCATCATACCAAATGCTTTAAAATGTGTAGTTATTACGTATTTCCTATGAGAATACTGAATACCTATAGAACTTCTTTTGAATGGTGTAATTTGCTGCCAGACAAACCCATATGGCAATATTTTCTGGTAAGCTAAACTCCCTTACTGGATTTTTATTGGATCATATTTGGATCACATTTTGCAGGTTTTAAAGATTTGTTTCCCTTTGTATTTCAGTAAGATTGCCTCTATTATAATAGTAGTTATATCACACAATATTGTGTGATACTTGCTGAAATAATGAGAAAAAGTGAGGTAGGTTATATAAATTCTGGTAAAAATGATATTATTGTCCAAGCTGTTGACAGTGCTCATCTCCAAACAATCTGCAAATCTAGAGGTCAATACATACTACATTTTAGGATAAGAAAGATCTGAGATTGAGTCTAACCCAGAATGAAGTGAAATAAAATCAAAACTGTTAGTAAAACTCAGGACTTTTCCAATCAAACCACAAATATAATACTTTTGATAAAATATTACTTACTTGCTTTGTTTTTCCATACTGGCTACCCTGAGACTTTCCCATCGAGAATTAAGTAGATTCATTTGCTCTTGGATTTCATTTTCTTCATCATCTGAAAGCTTCCCAAGTGTCAGAAGTTGACTTCCAACTTGCAAAACATGGCCAACACGTCCTTGGTGGGCTGTTAATTCCATCATAAAACCCTGACAACAAGATGAAAACTCTCTTTTAAGTTCAATTCTTGTGAAGAATAAAAAAGACATCAGAGAAATATTCAATTTCACCTTTTTTTCCAAAGCTGATTTTCAAATTTTCCTTTTTATTTTTCTGCTCCCTGCTACAAACTTTGTAACACAAACAGAAATAAACATTTTGACTTTTTGCATATGGTGCAGTCTATAGTCTCTAGTACAGTCCTATGGTATAGTCTTATAGTTTCTAGCAATATCTTTGAACTCTCCAAATCAAATTTTAAAACAAAGAATAAATAGTGGAAATAACCTAGAAATATTTTTCTTGTTTTATATTTCTGACTTGAATCATAGCATACAACCAGATATAAGACTACTGAAAGTTTAGTATATGTACCTCATGGGTGTGAAACTGTTCTTTCACAACTTCTACATCATTGGATATGTCTCCTTGTGCTTGTAATGCATCTTCAGCGGAAAGAAGCCATGTGAGTACTTCTTCTAAAGCAGTTTGATAGCTGTCAAGGTCCATTTCTGATCCCGTCAGTGAGGTGCTAAATGTCTTTGTTTCAATGGTTTCTACAAACTGATCAAAAACAAAAATTTAGAGTAATGCAAACAGCATCTACTCCAACAAGTCTACAAACGAACAAATGGAATGTCATTGTCTTGTATCACAAAACAGCATTAAAAAAATAATTATCTGACTAATGAGTGGAAGGAGTCAGTATAAGAGCTGTAAAAAAATCTGCCAAGATGGAGAGAGAAATTACAAAAATCAGAGTAAATTAGATATTTTACATTAGAATTCAATTGTTAGCAACTATTTTGCACAGTGTTATTCTACTTGCTTTTCAATAAATACTATATTTTTTCACTTTACTATTTCACATTCAGGTATTTTCTCTTGGAAATGAGGGAGAAATATTTATTTTCCACAACCTCAAGAAAGGCTAATGGAATTGCTAACAGAAAGGAAAACAACCCTTTAAAAAAACTGCTAAATTTGAACAATCCATACAATCCTATTTCATTAATATCATGAGCTGAAAAAGCTCAGAAATCACATCAGAAAATCAAACTATATTTCTTCTTATTCTTTTTTCACAAAAGTGGGGAAAAAATGTTCATTTCTCTTCCCACATGGGTTAACGTCACACTTTTATTCCTTAGCAGCCAAACAAAACACAGAATTTACACATTTTACATGTTGAAGTCAAAAGAAATCAGTAACAATTTAGTGATCACTGGAGTAATGGACAAAATGGGACAACATAAGCAATAAAGTTACGGGGGCTTAAGGGGCCTTGTTACAGAAAATATCACCTAGTTTTTAGAAGATATTTTTATATTTTAGATGATATCTAGTTTTTAGAACTCATTTGTCAATGAATTCTAAAGAAGTTGGCATAACTTCGTTGTCACTCATGCATGAAAAATCAATGTTCAGTAAGCAAATCCAGAACAGGAAAAATCAATAAATCAATATAATTTTTTTAATTTTAAACAGAGCACTGTCTTATAGCAGTGCTACACATTATATTATAGCACTTACATTACATTACATTATAGCAAATAATGTAGTATAAAAAATGCTTAACACATACTCCTGTGGCAAAAATGACTGTCTAAATGGTGTCCAACTCTTCATTTTAGGTAGTGTAGAAGGTAGTAAGAAGTTACCCAACTATATTATATTGCAGCAGCAGCATTATTTTCTGTAGTATCTAGTACTACAGATGCTATAATAGCTGAGTGAGATTATGGAAATAATGTTTGAATGCTTGCACAGATCTGATTATCTCTGTAAGTTATTTGTTTGAAAAATCTCCATCTGAAAACTGAAAATCTTTTTTTTTTTTTCCCCCTTTAAATCCTGTATGGAATATTGTCTCATACATGACAAATGCCGAACCAAATGCATGCTAACAATGCTTTCTGAGAGAAAGGAATACCCAGCAAAGTTTTTCCTGTTTCCCTAATATTTTTGACCAGTCATCACACTGCTTTTTTTCCATGTCATAAATACATTAACACATGCAACTGTATTGAGAAATTATGAATTCATGACCTTCAATAGCAGAATGATGCAGATTAATTTATGGCTGGAAGGATATCTTGTAATAAACCTTGAACAAATGTTAAGAGTGCAGGAAAATAAAGGAAACAACAAATATTCTAAATGAAAACCAAAAGACTTTCTTGGCAGGTATTGCAGACCATGTTTTCATTTAAAAAGGTCAAGTTTCCAGCAGGCAGAAAGAAGCAATGGTTTAGAGGATGTATAAGCGAAGGACTGTGGAATAGTGTCAGTAATCCCTATATCCAGGGTAGTGTGGCAACAACTACTTTTCTGCCCTCACTCAAAGCTTATGGCATTGCTCACAACAACAAGGCTCAGATCAGCTAAGAGGTGATGGAGCTGAAAAAGGGATAATTTCCTTGGAGCAGGAAAGGTTAAAAAAGGAATGAAAGCACTCATATATGGATATAATCATGATTTAACAGTTCTCAAATACTGAGGCCTAATAAAGTTTCATTTTATCTCATCTTTATGTATATCAGGCATATGAAAGGGTAACAATGAGAGAATAATCATGAGATTTTTTTTTCCCTTAGGAAAAAAAGAATTCTTCCTAAGGATTCCTAAGGATTTTTTTTTTCCTTAGGAAAGGTAATTTAAGTCCAGAATAGTTTTATCTTTTTGAAAATGTCCTTTGCATGATTATAGCTTTAAATAGTAACATATATTAATCACTCTTTAATCATGTCTCTTAGCAGGTGGGACTAATGCCACTGCCTATCTTTCCAGTTGCTCCCAGTCTGTCATTACAAAATCATACTTTAATGCTTCCTTAAAATTGCCAAATTACTGTATAGGCTAAAAAGTTCCCTGTAAGAATTAATACTGTACTTTTTTTTTTTAACAGATACCTTCAATCGGAAATTTTCAGGCATTTCTAGGAATAAAACCAAGAAGACATGTCATATAGAACATTTGTGAGAATTATATTGACCATACCCATGTTCTAAATTAGGCTAGCATTTTCATTTTATCAAGGATTTCAAACGATGTCTTCGTGAATGAAAAGGTCTTGGGTCGGGGAAATGTTTTTTTGCCATTCATATGAAAGATCTGCCTAATTTGGCCTTATCATAAATCAGAAAAACTGCATTTGAGACAGCCTCGATTTTTAGTAGATGATCTTCCTGGTGATGGTGTTTCAACTGGCAATGCTTCCACCTAGATGAACTGGCCTGTCCTTGCAACTGCTGTTTGGAGATGCAGGAGACGATTAGCTTATGACAACTTAACCGAGCTGAGCCTGCATGCATGTCAAGAGGGAAACATCTAGAGCCACACAGTGCGGCTGAAAGTAGTTTACAAAAAGAAGCAAAGGAAATGCTTAAACTACTGCCAGGAAAGGGGAGCGGGAAAACTCTTCTGCTCACTGTATTAGGTGTAGCTGGTACAAAGACTGACTGATAGCTGCAAAGGAAAATTGGGCTCCCAGTGATTGGGAGTCTAGAGGTCTACTGAGATCGACTGAAAGCAAGAGAAAAACTTGGAAGCAATTGGGTGAGATGACTAAGGAAAGGAATGAGACTGGGAGCTAAGGAGAAGTACAAAATTATTAAGAGATAGAAACTGAGGCTGCTGGACACCTGTAATGACTAGGCACCTGGAAAAATAAACTTTTCTAACAATTTAAAAGCTGCATCATTTATATAAATATAAATATAAATATATATATATATAAAAATATATCAAGCTTTTTTTACTTGGCATGTTTCTTCTAGACAGTCATGCTTAAAAATAAATATTAAAGCAAGTCTTGCACAGCAACAACTTCACTCTTTTTCCCTGTCAAGCTTAACAAAGCATATTCATTTTATTAACTTCCTAGGAATATTTTTTTTTGTCCTATGCTTATTGAAGTGTTTTAATTTTACTGATTTTTTTATGCTGAATATATAACGTATTGCTATTTAAAGTATTACTGATGATGTAAAAACACACAATATTTGCCGCTCTAAAGAAGGCACTTTCCATTCAAGCAATTAAGAATCATTGATCCAAACAGTAATACAATTTGATGTAGATGCATTAAATCAACTGGTTGTGATTGAATGCCTTATTTTCACCATTTAAATTATGATTTCTTGTTGTTAAAATGCTTACTTTCCCCACCATTTTTCATTGCTTCATATTTTTACTGATTCCAGAACAAGAAACATTTTAATGGACATTATTTTTCAGGAGCTGTCACTTAGTGCAGTAGCCTGTGAGATCATCTGGTCTCTAAATAACACACAAGTAAGATATTCTTCACATAAAGGAAGGGGAGATTTTCATCCTAACGATACATTTCCATTATTATCTGTGAATCTTCACAGAACTCTCTGGTAATTATTTCCAGCAATGTTAAATGGTAACAGGGTTCTATTGAATGAGAAACTGAACCGGATTAGGCTTTTAGGTACAACAGGGTTCTGTCATACTTAAAAAAACCTCAAGTCTGCTCCCAGTAGTGCTACAACTAGGTGAGTAACTTCAGATCAGCTGATTCCTCTCCCTTTAAAAATAGCTGCTGCTTAAGTCTTGTACATAAAACAGTGGAAATGTAATTTTATCCACTAATGATACTTATTTCACCTTATTTCACCTAAAATTTATGTTATTATTCATACTGTTTCATGTGGTCACATGAGAAAGAATTCAAGATGGAAAATGATTTAAGAATCATGTTCATTATCATTTAAAAAATGTAACTTCTAAACGTACTAAAGACTTGAGTAATAGCTACTTTAAAGTAGGCTTTTCTCAGAGAGATCTTTCAAACATTCTATGTCAATAATAATATTTTCAGAAGTCCAGAAATAGAAAAGTTATTCAAATGTATAAACAGAAGAATGGGACTGAGACACGTGAATTTTGTCTTAGGAAGAGGAAATATAAAAGTGCAGAATTATTTCTTTAAAGTGTCCTATAGGGGACATAGAAAAAAATGCAGATTTTATTACTTTTCTAACCAGAGACAGACTGATAATTAGAAAAATAAAGGCAAAAAGCTGTTTTCTTGAAATAAGCTTGCAGATTTCAAAAATAAGTCTACAGAAATGTAGTCCAAGAGTAAAAAGTTAAACAGAAAATCAAGCTTTATTAGTTTTCAGATATACTTCATTACATATTCTATATCTTTACAGTTATACCACTATGAAAATGCATCTCCAATTTTATTGCTCCATCATTCTAGATGGTTAAGCAGCCTTCTCTTTTCACCATCCTACTTAGTTGTTGCTAGTTCCTCTGTTTCTTTATTTTATATCCTCTCTCTCTTTTACTCCAAAATCAATGTTGCCCCATGGCATTTTTTGTTTTATTACATCAGTCATCCAAGTATCATATTTGCTCTCCCTGCTCAGCTTGATGTCTCTCCTACAAGGATCTAACACAACACCACACACACACACACACATACACACAGAGGCACACTTATTCACTCCTTCCTGATTACCTTGACTAACTCCTAATTTCCTTCAGTTTTTCATTCAAATCTTGTATTCACCCTGTAAGACTTTTGC